ACAAAAATTTTCAAATTATTGCAATTAAAACAGTCAAAAAATAATATAAGATGCCTCAGATGATTATTATTATTGAATTTTATTAATTAATGACTAAAAGCTAACAGCTGAAATAAGAGTCTGCCAAAATATACCTTAATGAGTCTACAACCTTTAAAAGTTTCAGAACCACTAATACAGGCTATTCATAGTTTCAGCAACAAGTTTTCAAATTATAGACCAAAAATATTAAGTCTTTACCCATATTATGCAAGTTTTTAATACAATTTATTAAATTCAATACATAATAATATTACTCGTATATAGATTTTAATAATATATTAAATTTTAATATTTCAGATAATTTAATTTTTTATTTCCTTTTAACTATTTTAATTCCTTAAAACTTTAAATTTTTAACTTTTAAACCTTCTAGTCATATTTGATATATAAAACATGAACAATTTCCCAACAAATATGGTTAAAATCACAATTTTTATAAAATTTTTAATCAGTTGAAATGCATTTCTTTTCAATACAACAGAAGTTAATATGAACACACTGGTAATATCTAACAACAGTTTTCCTATGTAATTTCTACAAGAACTACAATAAATATACTGTAATTTTGAGATATGGAACATCTTAAACAATTTGAAAAACAGTTTAAATATTTATTCTGCCTTCTTCAGGAGAAAAAAATAGAAATATGTGAACAAATAAAAAAACTATTATAAGTTGAAGTTTTGTCATGATGTGTATATTATTTTATGTAACAAAATAATTTACACATCACAACAAGGTTTTATGTAATATTCAAAATAAAATTCTCATATTTATGCTTTATCTTTTATATCTAGAAAACAATTTTATTTCAAGTGCATTAAAAATAAAATTTATGAAATTTTTTATTCTTTTATGAAACAAGATATATATATTTTAATATTTATAACATTTGTAATCCTATTTTAAATTGCTTAGAAAACACTGAGTACTTTGAAGCGATGGAAAAAATATTTACTTTTGTTGCAGGTAAATTTTAATTTATACTAATTACGTAAGTATTAGTACACATTAAAAATTTTTTGTTCTGGGTATGTTAAATTAATAAATTTGATTAAAATCAATGTATAATATTTTATCATTTATAATAAAACTTTTAATTTTCTTTCCTTAACACTTTTGGTGCTGTGATATAAGTTTATGTCATGTGACATTTGCTGAATATGATTTTGCATCATTTGGATGCTGGAAGTTTTTTGGTAAATTGTGCACTTGTTTTTTATATGTTATTTATTACTACCTGGAAGTGTAAGAAACATTGTAAAGATTATATTTTATTGCTTGATTTCATATTGCCATGATGTATTTAATTATATTGGTTTCTCATTGGGTATGTGTACTTTTTGCTAGCTTCCAAGATCGCTGAGCTGACACCTAACGCAGCCTGACATCATACTAGCACCCTCGTAAAAGTATACACAGTAAAGGACGCACCATCTTTGAACTAACTCCAAGCTCATAAATTCTCTGAGCACATCGAGCGTGCTAGGAATGCTAGCAATGACATCACGGGTGCGAAAAGTAAATGCTGTGCTCATTGGTAGCTAACAAAAAGTATACAGGCTGAGCGTGCTAGGGGCAAGATTGGAGCTAAAAGTAAATGCACCCATTATTTTGTCTTCTAATAGATGCTGATGACTCACTTTCACATCACATAATCCCAGAAATATTGCTTGAAATGAAGAATTATTTTATTCTTAATCTACATATAACAGTGATATAATTCCTATAAGCTGTAACAGTTCAACAAACACACAGATGCTTTTACTTGCTACTTCTAGGACCGATGTTTAATAGATAAATATTAGTACTGGACCATTATACAGTCGACCCCCCTATAATTACAGTCCCTATAGTTACGATTCCTATAAAACTACGAAAAAATTGCTACCGGTATCCGTAAAAAATAGTAAAAGTTCCCTATAAACACCTCAAACGTCATCGGGAAGCCGAACTACTTTCCCGCCGTCCGTAGCGCCACGCTACGGAGAGATTTCTATCGTCTGGACAGTATTATATAAATTATATATAAATTAGGTACTGTACATATAATTATATATTAATTATATATAAATTAGGTACTGTATATATAATTATATATTAACTTATTGTAACTTTGTTATAATTAAATATATAATTTCCGCCGTCTAGCGTGGCGCCACGCTACGGAGATTTTTACGCTAACTATCGTCTGTCAGTATGTAAATTAGGTACCGTAAGTCTAATACAGTACTGTAATTTTATACATTTCTTGTGAAAGAAACATTTCTTATTCAACGGCGATTAAAATTATTTATATTAATGATGTCTCCGAAGTTCTACGAAGTTTTCACAGAAAAATAAGTTGTTAGAAATCGGCCGCTCTTTGCTGAGCTGTTCCGCGACGAAAACAATGTTGAGCAATGGCAATGTCGAATGGTGACACTCGGTAAGTAATCCTACAATTTTTTGTTTATAGCGTAGTTTATACGGATTATTCCCAAAAAATATATACGTATTTTGGAAATGTTGAGTCGGATTAGTCTAGAATCGATTAATTTTATGGAAGAAAACCTTTCAAACAGCCGTAGTCCGTAAACTTGACACGTGTCGGGTTGTGATTGGAAGGATTCGTAAGAAAGCGGATTCCTAGAGAATGGAACGTATCTCTATCTTATAGGGGGGTCGACTGTACATATATATACAGTCGATTCCACTTAATTGGGACATGTTGGGACTAATCCATTTTGGCCCAATTACAATTAAGCAGCTGCCCCAATTAAACAAACTAATAAAAAATTTAAAATAAAATATGTAATGCATAGGTAAATAAATAAGTAGGTGAAAAATAATAATTAGGTACCTATTTTAATGCTTTATTAAACCAAAGTACAGAAAATATTTGTACTATAAATTTGCCAGACTCATGACAATAGATAACTGATTCACATCATGCTAGTGTTGCCAAATACAGTAACAGTAGTGACGTACACATGGGTTGACTGTTCGATTCATTCCTGATTAAATGATTTTTCCTTTCTCCCTTTTTATTTAGAACACATTCTAACTAAAAAGGGAAAAAGGAAATGGTTCGTCCAAAAGTCACCTTACGGTCTTCCTCTGAGCACAGTTTCCTTTACTTGGAGATGGGTCACTTCGGCAGGAGTGTCCATAGAATCCGCCAGCTCCAGATGCTGGTCTCAATGATCGGATTGCTGCTGTTTGAATCTAGACATAATTATGCACACAATATCTTCCGAGGAAACTCTAGCTGTTTTCCAACTTAGTCGAGAGACCTTGAAAAACTGTCTGGGAATCTTTGTCGCTTCACTTTTAAAGGGATCATCCGGTCCAATCCAAAACAGAGTCAGTAGCTTGCATTCAGGTCCATCTTAGACAGGATCCTCGTGTGATACATCCTGCTACAGTGACCCCCTTTGGAAAAACTAAACTGCCTGAGTGAAAGACAAAATCGCTTTGTCTCTGCTAATTGTTAGGCCTACATTAGTGTATGTAGTGTCTACATATTTTTAGAAGGTCCCTAAAATATATCAAATCTTGCTAAATTTCTTTCCTGATTAAGCGATTAAATTATGTATTAATTTATTAGATTGGGTTCTGTTCTTTGGTATTTGGCCCAATAAAGCGACTGCCCTAATTAACCAGTGGTCCAATTAAATGGAATCAACTGATATATAAAGAATTGGCATTTTCCATTCAACTTTTATTTTAAATAATGGCAACAAAAGTGTTAGGTAAATAATTCATATAATTTTATTGTTTTTGAATTTGAAACAGAAGATCTGAAAACAAACTTATTAAACAGTTATTTCAGAAATCAAAATGCACATTTATTGTTATAAACTATAATAATGAATTTATATAGTTTAAAACTCAAACAACCAAGCTATTTGTTGAAACTAAAATTATAATATAAATAAAAGGGAAAATTCTGCATCCATGTTACATAGCTAGCTTCAAGTTTTCCTACTTTAAAATATAGACCAGTTACATGAGTTAGATAACTTTTATCAACAGCAGGAAAAATTACATTATGTTTATAGTTAATAATTAACACCCGATGTAAGAAAGTAACAAGAATACTGGAGAATCCAAATACTAAACTAAACATCTGAGTTTCTAAACAATTTCTTATAAAAAGGAAGTGCTTTCCAATATAACACGAAGTTATTAATTTAAAAAACTCCAAGTCTTTTTACAAATAAAATTGGCAACCAGTTCAATCAATGCCTTATTGGATACTCAATAATCAAGAAAAACTTTTCCGGCACGCTTTATATAATAATTCGTATACTTGTTAATTTTTACACTTTAGATTACACATTAATACGTACTATAACGACCGCAACCACGGTCGCCATACATCTCCACACGACCGGATTTATTCTCACTTTTAAACGACACTTCGGTAATATTCGCGACACATTTATCCATCTCGGGCGGCGCGAAAGATCCGAGAAACGGAACCGTTTAACACTGCAAGCCGCTTTTAAATCCTAAACTCTTATCCGACTCGTACAATTCTATAATAAGAAATAATAATAAATAATTTTGTAGACTTGCCACTTCCTAGTATCAATATATACAGTAGACATTATAAAAGACACATTCAAAACTTACTTTACTAATCAAAAACAGGAAATGACATTATAAATTTTTCTTTATATTAAAATAATAATAATTATTATTATTATTATTATTATATTTAATCTATAGGAAAATTATTATTAGCAACGTTATATGAATTCAACTGTAAAATATATGCATAAGATATTTAACATGAAACGTGGCTCCGTATTATCGGATTAAGGAGTAAAAATGGGCACATTTTAAGAAATTAAACAAAAAGATAACGTCCGTAAATAATAAATAAACGTTAATAAGTGTTATTTATTACATTTTATATAGAAAAATAAAGCGAATAATAAATAAATTCGATCAAATTGTAATCAACTTACTTAACCCTCGTCCAATTCAAAGATCTTCAATATCTAAATAACGTGATTCAAGTACATCAAACATACGTTAATTATAATTAACACTTTATAAAGTCTCATTTTCTTAAATATAATTGTTTAATTCGTTATTTAATTAACAGTTTATACGTAAATTTCTCTTTAAGAACTTTTCTTTTTAAGTTTTTCTCAGGTCTTAACCTTCATCCCAAAATTCATCCGCTCATCAAATTTTTAACTTTAAGCAGGGGGATAAAACGTTAAGGGGGGGGGGAAATCTTATTACTCTACGTATATTTTTCATAGAATTTATCGAAATAAAATTAATTAATTATTTTTATTATTTATTAAT